AGAAGGCAATCAGGTTAGTCAGGCAAGATTTCCCCTTGGTGAATCCATGCTGACTACTCTTGAGCACCTTCTTGTCCTCCATGTGCCTGGAGACAACAGCCACACAGTGCTCTGTGTAAGAACTACATAATACTGTGCTGAAGACAATTCCAAACTCAAATGATAAAATTAGTATAACCTCAAATGAGTTATTTCCATTTGTAAACACCTAGTTTTACAGAGGCAAGGGGTTCTTAGTGAAATTAGGCATGGTGAAAATGATTACTCTAAAGTAAATACGTAAACCTAGCATCTTCACACACATACAGCTGGGTTTGTGAAACTTTGTCCCCAGTGTATTTCAATTTTCTCTAGGGCCTGGGGCACTAATGGGCTGCCCTTGGTAAACACCGAAGCAAAGAAGGCATTGAGCAACTCTGCTTTTTCTGTGTTATTTGTAACCAGGGTGCCCACCCTGTTTACCAGCGAACCCACGTTTTCCCTGATCTTCCTTTTGCTGTTAATATGTTTGAAGAAGTTTTTCTTGTTATTTTTAACATCCCTTGCCTGATTGTGTTCCAACCGTGCCTTAGCTTTCCTTGTCGCATCCCTGCATTCCCTGACTAGGTTCCTGTATTTCTCCCAGGGTTAAATGGGTTAGAATTTCTCTCATTGGTTAAATTTTTGGAAAACAAACAGTCATATTTTGGCTATGTGTCTGTTTTAGTTCATTTTCACAGCAATCATTTATGAATTGGTGAAGCAATTGGCTTCCTTCCCTAGCTTCTGTCCCTCTCCCTTTTCAGGTGACCAGCTTGGCAGTCCAGGAACAATGGCAAGGCATTTTGCTGCAAAATCATTATTGTTATAAGTAATAAGTAATGATAATATTTGGGTTATAGTGTTATCCAGGGAACCCCTACTAAAGGTGAAAGATAAGGTAGGGGTTTAACAATCTAATTAGGAAGGGTGTTCCATTCAGCATGGATATCATTAAAGGAAGTTCAAAGAACTGGGGAGAAAAATTGTATTGATATGAAGTGTTTGCTCCAGGGTGAGGTGAGTGAGGGTGTCAGGGAGGAGGGTAATACAGGCCAGGAAAGTAAGGACATGTGAAGTAAGGAGGAGTGGGACAGGTTTCTTAAACATGATGAAATTGAAAGAAATGGAGTTGGCTGAGGGATCTAGGAGAAAAGTCATTTGCTCAAAATGACAGGACAGCAAAAGATGTCATCAGGGTGTGTGTTGAAGGGACTCAATCCAAATGATAGTGAAGTGAAGGGCATAACAAATACTGCTAAGGGAGAATGATTAGCAGTGATCAGAGGGAAAAAAAAGTTTTGATCTTGGAGATAGATGTTACAGGGCATAAAGTGGCAGATTTGGAGACAGGAATTGTGTGGTCCAGAGGGAAATAAAGTCCAAACTAACTCTATACATGGGCTGGAGTGAGTATGAGAATGTGATGAGCTGGCACTATCAGAAAGAAATTGTTTTTTTGGCCATGTCACGTTTAACATGATTACAAGGCACTGTCAGCGACAGAAGAGATGTGGGTGTGACTCACAGATGTACAGATTGCTCATTAAAACCAAGCAAGTTGGTCAGGTCTTAAAGGTGGAGACTCCAGCACCTACATGGATTTTGCAAAGGAGAAGAGGCCCCTGCACAGTGAGAGTCACTGACGAAAAAACAGAGGAGACCATAGGTTGAGGCCTCATAGGAGATTAAAATCTCTAAGGAGATGTCACAGGCAGCCTGCAGAATCCCAGTCTAGTTTAGATCTGGAAGTTTGGCTGTCAAAGTCAGTGGAGATTTTGGTGCAATTTGTTTAAATTTTCTGTAGCTATAAAAGTCTGCTTCCAGTGAACAAGGTTTTAACTCTAACCATTTCCTCTTCCTTGTGAAAAGTTCTCTGAGGGAAGGCTTATAAGAATGGCCACGTAGAATGAAAAGGTTGAAAATTTCTCTTGGAGAGGTTATATTTCATGCTAGACTTAATGAAACGATTGGAAAATTCTCTTCTTTATTCCTTAGCATAAATGCCAGTCCTTATGGAAGGCATCTTGCAAACATCACACCGACTCTGAACCATTCCACCACCTTATTCGTTAATATACCATTCCTTAATATAAGTGGGAGTAAAGTTGTTCCCTAAGGGAAGACCATTAAAGTCTTCCTAATTTATGTCTTTTTTTTTTTCGGTTCTGAAGAGATAAAGTTACAGAGTCACAGAACAGTTGAGGCTGGAAGGGACCTCTGGAGATCACCCCGTCCAACCCTCTGCTCCAGCCCGGACACCCAGAGCACATGGCACAGGGTGGCATCCAGGCTTTTGTTTAGGAGAGTCTGTGTGACAAGGAGAAATTGGCCCGCATTTGTAGAACAATATGAGACCTCAACTGAAGATGTCTGTCATGATCTTTTTTTCTGTTAGCACTAATTTTTGTCTTTTAGCGGCCGTAGCCGTAAAGTTATACCTATAGCCAAAAGGCCAAGAACAAAACACTCAGCCTATGATACTTTCAAATGCCAGCATTGAAACTGAGGATTACAGTGTCAGAAGAAATAAATCAGTTGTTTTTTTGAAAAACTAATTTGCAATGTTTCTTAAGTGTTAGTAGAGGCTTATCTGAGTCTGTTAACTCCTTACTGTAACATTTTCAGCTTTTGTCTACTGGTATGGTTCAAATGCTTGTCTGGAATGTGGTTCTTGTGGTGAAATTTTGCCCACAAATCCACGTGAGTCAGAAAAAAAGCAAAAAATCACTCATGGAGCATAGCTTTACCAGCATAACCCAGGGCTCAGGTGAAGCTCTTCCCACAGAAGAGTGCTCTTGTTGACTCAGTCTGTGTTGTTCAGATAAGTTGCATTGCCATGTCAAGGGAAAAACTCTTTAACAGAACATATGGTGCCTGTCATAGCCCTGTTGGCACCAGTTCCATAATCTGAGCACAGACCAAGGCTTGTTTTTTGGTTCCTGCCCTTACCCAGACCTTCTGGTCTGCCTTTGCACAAATCACTTTACCATTCCTGTGCCTTACTTCTGAGTTACAGAAAACAGTACTTCCTTATCCCTGCTGCTTTATGTCTAGCTGTGTGTTCTACCAGAACTGCGTGTTCCAAGTACGTTGGTTACATCTTAGTATTATCATTCCCTTTTCAAGACAGAGTTCAAAAAAACACCTGCAACAATGATTCAGCCAGACTTATTTTTGATCGACGCCTACCAGCAGATTAAGATTTGAGACTGAGTCTCTTAAAAGGCTCTATTTAAGTCTGTGATGATGAAAATTCCTTTCTGTGACCAGCTGTAGAGGTTGTTTTGATCCTTCACGTACAATTTTCTTATAAAGCAATGACATTTTGGAGCTTATGCGGTTGAGAAACCCAAGGGGGCAACATGAGTAGGATTCAGCTCACTTAAATTCAGATTTTTACAGAGTAGACATAGACATTCAAATTCCTCCCTCTAATTATTCATCTGGCGAGACCAATTAAGGTCTTTTAGGACAAAACTCATCTGACATATGCTTACTTTATTAGGCCAGTTGTCTTTTCCTCTGTAGCGATTATAAAGAGAGACCAGATATCTAGGTTCAGATGTCAGTAGTGAGGATGCCCATAACTCTGGTAGATCACTGAGTTATGAAAGAAGCATGTCTGACTGGATCCGATGAGAGGGAAATTTATGAGAGAAACAGTCCTATCTTTGGCCAAGCAGATGAGTGTATCTCCCTGTATTCTGTAGCTCAGAGGGCGCTTCTGGAGAACGATGCACTGAGAAGGCAGAATGGGGAGTTTTTTGTCTCAGCATAGGATAAGAAGACAAAGTAGAAGCAGTTCAGCGTCTCTGCAACCATCTTAAAAAACAGAAAAAAACATTGATATGTCTGCGGGGATAAAGAGGGCAACTTCTTGAAACCAAATTTTATCTGATAGAAGTGGTTAGAACAGGTATTTGCATCTCTCGAATAGGTGGAAAACCAACATCATATAATAAAGATTGTTCTTCTCTAGTCAAGCTGTATATTAATGAACTGTAACTCTTTCTTGTAAGTGTTCTCATTCACGCCCTAACATGAACTTGATGGAGGTGTTGGCCTTCTCGTCATTGATACCTTGTGGGCGTAACAGCAGTGCTCAGCTCTGACAGGAAAAATTCTTCACTTTGCATATTCCATATCCTGCCAGTTCTGAGATTTGAGGCCAGCAACGAACTCAAGCACCTGGGCAGGTTGAGGCTGGGTAGGTTGAACGTTTAATGAGTTATCTGCTAGGGAGTGCTGGCCGTACGGCCTGTGTGCTCGGTCAGCCTTTTTTGGCCAACTTGTGCAGGTGGCAGGTGCCTCTGGGGCAGTCCAGGCCTCTGTACTGCCCTTCTGTCAGAATAATGGTTCTGCACTGGAATCCAGAGCTAGGAGAATATAAAGGGAGCCAGAACTGAAATATTTAAGAGTGCTGGTACAGTACTTGGATTTTCCACAAGTTCTTTCGTTCATGTGTTGTTAAGAATGTCACATTAACTCTGTCTGCTTGATTCTCAGTTTCTAAGGAAAGAAAATGTATATTGATGACATAATTAGCTTGCTTTAATTCTAGTAACATGAGTTATTGTAAGTGATAAGTATCAGGCCAACTAATAGGTACAGATAGTCTAGATTAAATGCAAACTAAATTGGCATCTACCCTAAAATATGCATATAAAATACTGTCAAAGTATAATTGGGTTCTGAAGCACAGCATTCCTACAAATGTATTTTAAAAAGATACGCCAATTAGTTTACATTAATTATGGTGGTTTGGGGTTTTTTTGGTGGTTTATGCACTAAACTGTAGGAAAGCTGGGATAATAGATGCACATTTCTGGCAAACAGTTATGTTCCTGTTTGCAAACTCACTATTTCTAGCTTTAGTTTTTATTACCTCTTAAATTTTACTAAAATTATAGGAAAAGTCAATCAGTTTTGCATTAGAACTTAGCATTGACAAGTTTTCCTATTCTACTTTTACTACTTAGGAGGGAGTAGTATCTCCTACTGATCTAGACCTTGTGATGTCTGATGGATTGGGAATGAGATACGCATTTATTGGACCTCTGGAAACCATGCATCTTAATGCAGAAGGTAGGTAGTTGAAAGTGAATTAAATACAAAGGGAAGGTTGATTTTGCATAAAATTTTGGAAATGTACAACAGAACAGTTTAGGATTGCTGTAAATATGGCTTTTTTCTTCTTATTTTATTGTAAAGAGGAGAAAAGGATAATTTATATAAAACTTGGAAAAGTGGATGAAAGGGAATGGATATAACTATCCTGTTATAAGTGATCAGATTAAAGTTGAGGTCTTAATACTAGCCATGTACTCCAGACTTCCAAGATTTCTCTCAGTGCATTGCAAACGTTGTTGAGGACTATCTGATGATCAGGTGAAGAAAATGTTGAAAAAGTTAATTTGATAATCCAGTGTGAACAGAAAGTCATTCTCTCGAGGTGAAGTGCCTTTTTGCAGAATTTGTAGCTAAGGCGCAGTGTAGGTATGGCTGGAGCTTTGGAGCTTTCTTGCATGAAGATCCCTTTAGATCCCGGGTACAGTGAGATCGCTACTGTGCAAGACACTTTGCCTGTGAAGGTGAATTAATTCAAGTAAACAAATAATAAATTAGCATCTGTCTTGTAGTATGATCAAGACATATCTTAGATGTTTTGGGGAACTGTATGTATTAAACCGAACTAAATAAAAGTAAATTGCATAAAAGCAAATCAGAATTTCAGGTGAGGGCTACACAGGTTTAAGCACAGAGTTTAACAGAATGTGAAAACTTGTCAACAAGTGAAGCTCTACCGGGTACATTTTTAGCTCCTTTTATTGTGGGCTATTTCTTTATTCTTTTCATTTTTATGATCCCTGACATGATGAGCCCTTGGTCTTTTAGGCACTGCAGTGATATATAATAATAGAGTAATAAAATAACAAGGCACCAAGATCATAAAACATCAATGCACAGTTACCTATGATCATAAAACATCAAGGCACAGTGTTACCTGTGCCTGTTTTTTGGCTAGTCACCTGGCAGTTTATCTTATATCTCTTAAGGCTGCCTGGACAATTTTGACAGGAATGTGGAATCATGGATCCTCTACCTGGGTCTTCTAGCTTGTCAGTTTAATTGCATACCAGGAAATTAAATGTCAGAAAGTATTTGCCATTGTCCATTGCTAGGGAAACAACATCCATCCTCTGTGTAGGGCCATATTCCTCAGTTTTCCTCTTCTGATCTGTTGGTATGTTACAGTTTTCTGATCTTCTCAGTGTAAAGCATATACATTCTTCAGACTCCATAAGACAATGCAGGAAGCACAAGCCTTCAGCACAGCAATTGGCCCGGAGTCTGGCAGGCCTGAGTTGTCCAGTGCTGCTCCCGATACTCCACTAAGCTGCCGTGCTCTGCAGTACCTGTCCAGGCACAGGCTCTCCCCATGCAGGACATGGGAGGTTCAGGAGCTACGCCTTCGTTCCTGGTGTCCAAGAAGCATTTGTATGTGTCATATGCAGCTCTGGAGTAACCTTTCCCTGTAAGAGTTAATGGCCAATGGTGCTTATATATCACTGAGCACTCTGAGAAAGTGCTGGGACCTGAACTTGTAGATAAGGATACAGAGCAGACACGGCTTGGAAGAAGGGATGCCAGTTTGAAGAGGCAATGTGGAATGGTAAAGGGGTGTTGAAGGCTGGTCGGGTTCCTAGTTTGGATAACTGGATGTGTGAAGAGAATTGGGGAAATGTTTAGCTTGGTATTCTTAATTCCATACAATTTGTTTCTTAAAAAGTGGCACCCTGACATATTTCTAAAGCTTTTGGGATTCTAAGGCTCATGCATCTTTAGTTCATCTAGTCTGACATGAAGAGAATTGGGGGAATGTTTAGCTTGGTATTCAAAATTCCATGCAATTTGTTTCTTAAAAGGTGGCACTCTGACATATTTCTAAAGCTTTTAGGATTCTAAGGCCCATGCATCTTTAGTTCATCTAGTCTGACTTTTTCATTTAGTTAAAACAATTTGGTTTGTGTTTTGTAATAAACAGCTGTTTCAGTCTCCAGGTGATTAGTAACTCTGTGGCTAAACACTTGGTTCCAGGGAAACTGTTTAACTCTTCAATGAAAAGATAATCTCTTCAGTCTGCATTGAAAGTAGGAAAGGGGGGGTAATGGTTCCTTGATCTGAACATTATATCGTGGTGAGCTTGCTATTCTGTTCAGAGCAGTGTGCTAAACTGCCTCTACTACAGTATAAAAACAGAACAAAATGCTTGTTGTAAATGCTGTTGTAAATCAGAGAACAAATCATGCTTGGGAATCCTTTCATTTTTTTCCTTTTGAATTAAAAAAATCAGACTTGAGTCTACAACGATGTTCATTTGAGATGTATGAAATCACATAAATAATCTGGTTTGGTTTTGATTTTTTTTCCTGGAGTGCTTTTCTTTGGCATCTGATGTTCCATCGTGATCCAGTTTAGCTTCCTTCCTCCCATCAGGAAATGGTTACTGTTACAAAACATTTTCAAAATGAATGTCGCAAACCAGTTTTAGGTAACAAATGTGACTGGCAGCTTACTTAGTCATGGCAGAGATTATCCCAGTTAATGCATCTAGGTTAATGCTAAACTCTTATCAGGAATGCTAATATTCCAGATCAGAAAAGATCCAGAGGAGGAAAAGTCATGAGCAGTAACCTAGGAAAGAGTAGCCTGGG